AACCCGACGGACAACGAAATAGAGTTGTTCAAGATGTTTAAAAAACCGGAACCACTTGCCATGAAGATCACCTCTTCGATCAATCTCCTGACTGATGACGATCATAACACAGAGTTGCATTACGCCGCTGCCAACGGAAGAGATGGAGCTATCACGAAGGAGTTGCTAAAAAAACACACCATCGATGCCGAGAATTATCTGGGATGGACTCCGCTGATGATGGCTTGCAGGAATGGGCATCTGAGTACGGTCCAGTTGTTGTTGAAGCTTTCAGCCGATGCTAGCAAGAAGAACAAGTATGGTGAGTGCATTCGCTGCATGTATGTATTTTGTGCATCACACAAGAAAGTTTGGAATTAGTGAATAGTAACGCATTCCTGGCATCTATGGGTTTTGAAAACCCATAGATGACAAAATTAATTTATGTATTCACCTCCTTGAGTAAAAGACTAATAAAGAACATATGATTTTACGGCCGGAGTCACAATTAGAGGGAACAAAATTCGAAGTGGTAGGCTGGATGGAGCCTGAAGTACGAAACATTTCGTCTGCTACTGCGACAGCCATTATCAGTGGCTTATGCGTTGAGGTTATATCTTGGCTAGGACCGGATTTTGTTTTCTCTAGTCAGACAATATATACAAGAATAACTCAATTTAATGTCTTCTGTGCAGACACGATTCACTAACTCAGAATCGTTAATGCCGCTTCTATCGTTAATGTCGCTTCTATATTGTAACCTGTGGATATTGTCAATATGAAGGCAAATCATAACCATATTGTTTTAAGTTTATCAGTATCTATTCGCGAATAAGTCAATTCAAAGAAGTTCTGTTGAAACAAATAGATAATAACGTGAACAGCAGCAAATTTACTCGAATATAATGGGTCTGTAATATGAAGGAAGGTCTCGAGAAGGAACTAGACATCATCGAAAAGGATCTTCAACGGAATGGCTACTCCAAAGCGATGGCGGAACAGACTTTGGCTAAAAGAAAGCAGGAGCCCCGCAAGGAAGAGAAGCCAAGGATTATCGGAAAGGATAAGAAGAATTGGATCCAGGTACAACATCAGAACCTGCTTCAGATCCGGAAACACTATCCGTAGCACCCTCACGAAAACCAGGCCACCAAACGCGGACTGCGATTCCAAGAATTGCATTTACCGGAAACCCTGCGAGTGCGGAAAATCCTATATCGGTGAAACTAAGGGGCCATTGAATGTTCGCATTGCCGAGCACAAGAAACACACACAGCGAGAGGAAACCAGCAAATCAGGAATAGCAGAGCATATTTGGACCCCAGAAATCAACGTAACATCGAGTGGTTTCAAGCTGAGATCATACATAGAGTGAAACATTGGTTTAGGAGGAATTCAAAGAAGCCGCATACATGTTGTCCAACAATGTATTCAGCCAAGCTATCGTAGAGATGCGCAACTTATGGAAACCCATACGCCAAACGGTCATCTCCCACTGAACCGGTGAAGCGGAAAAAGTGAAAGTAAATAGTAATCTCTCGGAGGAATTAGTCCAATCATCACCCGAAGTCGATTGTGGATACTAACAATTGTACCGACGTGAAGTAACTTGGCTTAGAATCTCTTAACTTTTAACTTAACTTAACTTAACTCACGAATTGATTTCCACAAACTTTATTTGAAAAAATAAAATCACAACATGTTTCGCTAGCATAGTAGCTTTCTCAAGTGTATGAATACTTCAAATTATTCTTACATTGATATTTATATACTATAGGTAACCAGAATTGAGACTACCTCCAAAAAATTACCTGAACCTTCACCTAAGGTACCTGTTGCATTATGATTACCTAAAGCATATTACCGCACAACTTCATTAATAATAATACTTCCTCCTGGGATTTTAAGAAAACAAGTTCAATAATGGTGATCTATTCAACTCCAGTTGGTCATTCATTAGAATGTTTGAATTTTTAAGTTTATTAATTTCCATTGCTTCCAAATGATTCAGTTTCAAACCTTTATTTTCTATGTGCAAAATTTCGAACTCTATGTTAAAGATATGATTTTCTTCTAGAAGATGATTTGAATATGTTGAATTTGTTTTCTTATTTACATAGCTCGTATGATGTTCCTGGATTCGATTCCTAAATGTTCTGTCCGTTTGATCAAATCGTGAGGTGTAGTTTTTGAAATTAATATGGTTCTTCAAGTAACGGCCGAATCAATCAGAAAAAAAAAACAGGAATGCTTTGGAAACAAATGAAGGTAGTTATTGATTCATTCTTGTTGTTATTTGTATAAGTGTATTTTATGAATTCGTGACCAAAATATCCAGTTTAGGTTTATACGAACTAAGATTTTTTAAATTTGATTTTGATCTATGGTGAATGTAATCGAGTTATCGGCTGGACATATAGGTTATTTGCCGAAAGGTATCGGGAAAATCATAATAAGTAAAAAGGCTGTGGAAGAATTGTTTGCATCATATTTGCAAATGAATCAAACTGATCTCGGAGTTTCAAAACTATCCTAAAATACAGGGTGTTCTCTTTGAAAAACCTGAGTTTTGACTCATGTTTATATCTTCAGAATCAGTCATTGATTCCGAAACATTTTGAAAATGTCAATAGCTGATCCATCACAAACGTTGCATGGGATGGCGTAGGAACTGGGCGTCAGCTCCCATATGTGGGACTGAAATTATCATATTTCGAGGACTGTTTTTTTCTACTTGTGCGCAGCCAATACGGATCGTTGCGTGTGATGAAAAGTGAATCTTCTATGACAAAAGGAGACTTTACAGTGGTTGGACACCGATGAGTCACCCAGGCACTTCCCATAGGCGAAAACTCACCAATAAGACTATGGTTGCCGTATGGTCAGCGGCTAGTGTGATTCACTATAACTTTCTGCAACCGGGCCAAACCATCACAACAGAGTCCTATTATGAGGAAATCGACGAAATGTACCGAGAATTGCGTTAGCAGCAGCCGGCACAGACCTCTCGCCAACCGACTAGCACCTGTTCAAGCACTTCGATAACTTCCTCACCAGTAAAACCTTCGCCAATCAGGACCACGCAAAAAGGACCTTCGTCTACTTCATCGAATCCCGATCACACATTTTATATGCTGATGTGATTTCCTACACAATAATGACTTTTCAATGTGTCTAGGCCTTAACTGAAAACATTAAATATCTAATTAATATGTCTTATTATTAAGATTTCTCTAAGTATAACGCCGGTGATACAAATTTCCCGAAATAGTTATTTTTCATAAATACCGCATTTGTGATCCAATTAAACATAAAAAATATATGAACCAGGCATTGACCTTTTTTTCTTTTCCAGGGTACTCCGTATTTCATATAAGCATATCGAGTGGTAAAATGGAGATCGTGTCCCTGATTTTGAAACATCTGCTAGAGGGTGGAATTTCGAGAAGATCCATGCAGAATATTCTCTCGCCTGTATCTCTGGCTATAGTATTCCAACAACACGATGTGTTGGAGTTTTTATCTGTGCAGTTTGATATCGACAAAGCTACACCTTTGACAGGTTTGTATTCATGCATTCAACAGTAATACGGAGTGTTCTTCTGCTCGATTTCTAGCTTTATGTATGTAATTATATAGAAATTTTGATTTTGGATATATCATGTGGTGTGAGTATTTAAAAATCACAATTATACTACGGAGTGTTGGAAAATATTGGTTAATTGGAGCTTTGTTTTTTCCCAAACAAAAACTCCTAAATGATTCCAGTTTACTTAACTACATAATTTTTTTAATAATTTTTTGGCAAAGTTTTGAATTGTAGTTTTTCAATAAAATAAGTTGAAATCATGTGGTTACCGAAATTCGATAAAATACATTCAAAAACTAAAATGTAATGCAAAACGTAATGAAATGTAGAATACGAAAAAGAACTATGTATGTTAACGAATAGATGTTCAAAATGTTCACCTCGAACGTCTTGGCAACATCTTAACCCTCAAATAAAAGTGTCTTCTAACATTGTTTAACGTATCAGGCATGACCGACCTAATTGCAAGCGTTATTCGTTCTTTTAAGTCATTTAAATCTGAAGGTTCAGTTTTGTACACACTGCTCTTTACATATCCCAATAAAAAAAATCTAATGATGAAAGATCAGGTGATCGCGCTGACTATACAATCGATCCTCGCCTCCCTATCCACCAATTGGAATCGAGGTATTGCCGGACATTAACTTGGTAATGTGTTGGTGCTCCACTGAAACTTGAGGGTTTCCTGGATCAGGATATAAACTTGCTAAACTTGGAAAGACGTCATTTTGAAGTAGTGCCAAATAATTATCGCCATTCAAGTTACCCTCAATGAAAAAAGTACCAATGATATGATTTCCTACAATCCCTGCCCAAACATTAACCTTTTGAGGGTATTGCGTGTGTTCTTCTCTCAACCAGTGAGGATTTTCCGTTAACCAGTAGCGGCAATTTTGCCGATTAGCATGACCGTTAAGAGACGAAGTGTACTCATCAGAAAACATACGTCTTCTAATTGGATCATATTGTTATCCAACATGTCCATTATTCACTCACAAAGATAAGTTTTTCTATCAAAATCGTCTTCCATGAGCTCCCGAGTAGGTATCATTTTATAGGGATGCATTTTATTTTCTTCTAATATGTTTAGTATCGATGTATGGCTAACATTGAATGTAGTGGATGTCTGTCTACTCGATGTATGTGGGTTTTCCTCAAACTCTAGCATCACATCTAATTTGAGTTCATCACTCATTGCATTGGCAGCTGCTTTTTCTATCTGCCCCACATGAACAAGCTCGCAAAACTGCTTCTCATGAAATAAGCGAGCTATTTCCTGTTGTGTTCGAGTTTCACCTGCGTAACCAATAATTTTTATGTATGTATGTATGTTTTCTAAAGGATACCATCTAAAAAGAACATTGCTATGGTTTTAGGTCACTTTCTTATTATAAATACCTCAACATGAAAAAAATTTTGAGTATATTGCAATAAATTTTGGGTGTATTTTATC